CCACACAAAAACCCCATCTGAAGGTCACCAATATTAAAGACCAAAGGTAGATTTATCTCACGAAGATGAGGAAAAACCAGAACAGTAAGGCTGAAAATTCCAAAAACCAGAATATCTCTTCTCCTACAAAAATTGCAACTCCTTGCCAACAAGGGAACAAAACTGGACAGAGAATGAGTTTGATGAATTGACAGAAGTAGGCTTCAGAAGGTGGGTAATAACAAATTTCTCTGAGCTAAAGGGGCATGTTCTAACCCAATGCAAGGAAGCTAAGAACCTTGATAAAAGGTTACAGGAACTGCTAAGTAGAACAAGCAGTTTAGAGAAGAACATAAATGACTTGATAGAGCTGAAAAACACAGCATGAGAACTTCACGAAGCATACACAAGTATCAATAGCTGAATATCAGAAATTGAAGATCAACTTAATGAAATAAAGCATGAAGACAAGATTAGAGAAGAAAGAATGAAAAGGAAAAAACAAAGCCTCCAAGAAATATGGGACTATGTGAAAAGACCAAACCTATGTTTGATTGGTGAACCTGAAAGTGACAGGCAGAATGGAACCAAGTTGGAAAACAACTTCCCCAATCTAGCAAGACAGGCCAACATTCAAATTCAGGAAATACAGGAAATGCCCCTTCATGCTAAAAACACTAAATAACTAGGTATTGATGGAACGTATCTCAAAACAATAAGAACTATTTATGAAAAACACAGACAATATCATGCTGAATGGGCAAAAACTGGAAGCATTCCCTTTGAAAACTGGCACAAGACAAGGATGCCTTCTCTCACCACTCCTATTCAAAATAGTATTGGATGTTCTGGCCAGGGCAATCAGGCAAGAGAAAGACATAAAGGGTATTCAAATAGGAAGAGAGGAAGTCAAATTGTCTGTTTGCAGATGACATAATTGTATATTTAGAAATCCCCATTGTCTTATTCCAAAATCTCCTTAAGCTGATAAACAACTTCAGCAAAGTCTCAGGATACAAAATCATTGTGCAAAAACCACAACCTTTCCTATACACCAATAATAGACAAACAGAGAGCCAAATCATGAGTGTATTCCCATTCACAATTGCTACAAAGATAACAAAATATCTAAGAATACAACTTACAAGGGACGGGAAGGACATCTTCAAGAAGAACTACAAACCACTGCTCAAGAAAATAAGAGAGGACACAAACAAATGGAAAATCATTCCATGCTCATGGATAGGAAGAATCAATATTGTGAAAATGGCCTGACTGCCCAAAGTAATTTATAGATTCAATACTATCCCCATAAAGCTACCATTGACTTTTTTCACACAATTAGAAAAAAACTACTTTAAACTTTATATGGAACCAAAAAAGAGCACGTATCGCTAAGACAATCCTAAGCAAAAAGAACAAAACTGGAGTCATCACACTACCTGACTTTAAACTATACTGCAGGCTACAGTAACCAAAACAGCATGGTACTTGTACCCAAACAGATATATAGACCAATGGAACAGAACAGAGGTCTCAGAAATAATGCCACACATCTACAACCATCTGATCTTTGATAAACTTGGCAAAAACAAGCAATGGGGAAAGGATTCCATATTTAATACATGATGTTGGAAAAACTGGCTAGCCATATGCAGAAAACTGAAACTGAACCCCTTTCTTACACCTTATACATAAATTAACTCAAGATGGATTAAAGACTTAAACATAAGATCTAAAAGCATAAAAACCCTAGAAGAAAACCTAGGCAATACCATTCAGGACATAGGCATGGGCAAAGACTTCATGACTAAAACACCAAAAGCAATGGCAACAA